GCTGAGGGGCACCGGTCACACCTGCAGCATCCTTCCTCCCCCCGAGAGCCGCAGGGCGACGGGTGCGGTAAAAAGGATCTTAAATGTTTTTCTGCCGGAGCCCAAGTACGCTGCAGGCCTCATCCTGGCAAAACTTCAGCGGTGTAATAACTTCTACTAAGTGGTGTCATAGCTCCAGAACTGGGCCAAAGTGCACCAGATGGTGACATGGCTTGAAGCCCTACACACACGCGCACACACACACACACACACAGATTTGTAAAAGCCTAGAAGCAGTTGTAAAAGACTCCTCAAGACATGATTACTCTCTGATTTCTGTCACCTCAGTCATTCAAGCACAGTTCTTTAGAAATCACTGCACTGGTTTTGTTAACATTTATATCTAAATAGTAACTCACTAGCATTTAGCTCTTAATAGATTAAAGGGTGAGCTGCAGATGTGAGAACGGCTCTGTCCTTTCAGAGGATCTGAAAAAGCTTTGCAGATGCATGTTTCAAGAGAGATTTAGACCCAGTTCCTTGAATGGCTTTATGGACATAATTTCATAAGCTGGCTAACCTGAGTTGTGCATGCACGTGAATTTGTGTGAAAGTTTAGGTCTGTGCTCATAAGCAGGATGGTGCAAAGGGCGCTGCAGCCCACAAGAAAGTTGACCTTCATTCAAACTGAGCCAAAGAACGCTGGGCTTCCTGCTTTTTGTTTTTTTAGCAGAACTTTTAAAGGTAGATTATCTGGCCAAATCTGAATTTGGCTCTCAGAAAGCCTTGTTCTTGTCCTTGCACAAGTATCATACCACCATCATTAACTATGGTGGTTGTAGTTACGCTCTTTCGTGCAAATGCATATGCAGTATTACTGACACAGAAGTGCTTATAACTAGTGCATTTATCCCTTGTACAGCAAGGAAAATAAACCGTCCAATGTAACTGTGTCTACACTCAGAACACGGTTTGTGCTCAGAAGGATGTGGAGGTCCTCTAGTAAGAAACAGCTGAATCTGACAAAGGATATTTCTTATTGTCCCGTTGTAAGTCCAGTCCTTGAATAAAATATATGAACAAACTGGACACTTTTTCTGTATTATTTGTCTTTACATAGCATAGCATAGATATGCATAGCATAGGTAAGTGGACTTTGAACTAAGAAATCACAATAAATATCCACATACTCATATAAAAACATCATAGATGAGACTGTGTCAGTTATTAAAAAATATTTCAGGCCCTCTTGTTTTGCTAGTAACAAGTTTTAAATAAGACAAATATCTTGTGTGTTTTAAATCCTTTTAACACAAGATTTGGGTGAAGGATATATGTTGTCAGTTGGTGAACAATTTTTAATACTTCTAAAGGCAGCTGATCTTGGTAGAAGGTGCATGCAATACACTTGGGAATAATATGATGACTCCTGCTAAATACTCAGGACAATAGTCATAATGTAGTTCATCATCTTATTTTGTAGGTCCTTGGTTTAGCCTAAGAAGCTGTATCATGGAATTAAGAACGTGATATAGTGACAACTTTGATAAAAGAGGAAGAATGTTGCAAGATTTCAGTTGTGCAGTATCTTAAAATAAACTTTAAAAATAAAATAAAGTTTGTGTGGGGAAACTCCAGTTAGACAAAGGAGAAAAGTACTGACAAATTTTAGTTCAACGTTTCTGAAATTCTTATTTAGATTCCTCAAGTATCCTGTCTTGAGGTAACTTTTCTTGAGGTAACTTGTTAATTTTATTTGTTTACCATGTAACAGCTGTCACAATGAGAGAAAGGTCACGTCTATGTTTTTCATGGAAACTGTGTTGATGTTTTATCAAATAAACCATATAAATACATTTCTGAGTAGACCAAAATTAATATAATTTTAGTTTTTCTTGCACCTGGGGTCTAGAAGCACGTTTGGTTGTGCCCAAATGAGCTTTTTGTGTTCATGCTACTTAAAATCCAAACAAATTTGGATGTGCCAGGGTGACTATTTGGTGGCTTGAATTTTCAGTGAAAGACTTAAGGGAATTTCCTGAAGGATAAATGCTGTCAGTTAGTACCTCTAGATCAGTCATATCTGTGTTGGCAGTATATAATCTGCTAATTCCTACTTTAAAATTTGTGGACTTCAGAGAGAAAAAGTTTATGATGGGTATATAGAAAATGTGAAGATGACGAGTCTTTTGGCCCTAAAATATTTACTCCCTTTCTCCTCTACTTTCTCTTCTTTCTTTCGACTCTTCAGGAGACTATTTGACTTAGAAGAATTCTACTTCTTGAGACAGTGACACAAATACTGTCATTTTGATACCAAGTTACTCGTCTTTTCCATGATGGCTGTGCTCACCTATGAACTGTTGTAAATTAAGTGAACACAAGTTTTTGTTTCATATATGCCATTTTATTTTTTCTTTTTCATTAAAAACAATAGCTATCACAGAATACTTGTAATTTTTTTTTTTTTCTGAAGCTGCGGACCAGAAAATCCCAGAAGTAAACAAAACATATATCTAAGTCTTCATTTAGCAGTAGGGATTTTTCAGTAGAAAGCATCATGTTAAGAAGATTGTGTCCTTAAAAGTCCAGTGCAGTACTTTGTAATACATTTTAGATATAATATTCTTGATATGAAGGTACTTGAAAAAATGTATCTAAGATTATTGAGTTTAAAAATGAATAATACAAAATCCCCCTATAAAGCTTTAGCTTGAGAACAGTTTGAATTAAAACTGAATGCAGCTAAGTGCAATTTCAGGTTATTTGGATTGCTCTTATGATGTGAAGTGTTCCAAGAACTTCAAATACCCAATTTCTTTGCATGTGCCAATTCCATTCTCTTCTCACCTAAAGCCCTTCAAAAGCTTTGAAGTGATCACAATGCAGTACTTAGCATAGAGCAGTTTCTGATTTGCAAAAGTCCTTCCAGATTTTCACAAGTGGCTCAATTTTTAAGTGAAGTCCCGTGTCGTATTTGTAAAACACTCTAGAAAGAAGAGGAAAATATATGAAATTCAAGGTTAAAAAATGGGTAAAGGAAGCAAGGACTAAAATGATTTTTAGAAATGTCGAACAGAAAAGTGAGAGTCACCGTATTATTGCCATTGATTCCACTATCAAAGAGAATCAAGAATAACGCAGAGTGCATGTTGTAGCAAGCTTTTGGAAAGCATAAGAAGAAGATACGGATGACTAGGGATTGCTAATGCTTGAGTAAGTTGTAAAAGCTTGTCTAAAAGCCTGGGTCTCCCAAGCTTTTGCTATCTGAGGGTTTGGAAACAATCAAGTCAAAAGAAAATATAAGGTTTTCTTCTCTTTGTTGCATCAGCTTTTCATAGAAAAGGGTTCTTCTTATTCTTAGTTTACTCCCATTCTTGGCAAATCAGCTTAGCAACTGATTACACAAACACTTCTGTAACATATATGGAGACTGAGAGAGAGCGTAGTTTCTAAAAAACTAAATCCTTTGAAATGTTCTTAGTTTTCTAGCTTGAATAAACCAAATTTTTAAAAACTTTCTTTAAAAATGGTTAATTATTTAGTGAGTTTTCTCTTTTGGATGCTACAGATCAGGCATTCATTATGAGCACCTGTCATTTTGGCTGCAGTTCAGCTGTATAGCGCTGAAAACTAATCCAGCCTCCCTATTGGAATCAGTAGGATTTATCTTCTCAAAACACATTAAAAAAAACTCTTTAGCTGGTATCTAATTGTGCCATCAGACACCTAAGAAAAACTTTCATTCTCATAACCTTTGCTCAGTTTCCACCTAACTTTGGCATTAGCTAAAATTCTTACAGATTTAGGTTTCTGATAGTAAAGTTCTTTGGATATGTCTGTTTACATACACACAGCCGTGCCTCTTGGTATTGGTGACTGACTAACTGAGAACCCAGCTCACATGTGAGAACCCAGCTCACATGTGAGCTCTCTAAGGATTTACAAACTACATGTTTTCAAGTGGCTTGGCTGTTAGAGCCTGATCTGGTAGATACTCTCAGAATGGCTGCACCTTTGACAAGACGCAATAGGGCAAAGAGGCGATGGTATTGCACTTATTTCTACTTCAACAGAGCACTCACCTAATATGAAACAATTCTGCTTGAGGGGACTTGAACCCACATATTCCCAGAAGTATGTCCTTCCCACTAGGCAAGACCATTCTCCGGTATGGGTATTTGTGTGGGTGTTTGCATATATGCGGGGAAAGAGGGAAAAAGTTTCTCAGCGTGCCCTTGGTTGAAGATATTCCATCTCCTATATAACATATATTTTTCATATAAATATGTATATATGTATGTATACACATACATTCAGTAGACGTTCTTGCGCTCATGCCTCATCTGTCCGGTCCAGTGAACTTCTAATTATTTAATGCAATGGGGAACAGCTTCAGCAGAAAAGACTTACAGCACCTTAGACCTAGAGTACTCTTAAGCTATATCTACATTAGTAAATTAAACGGTGCCGAGGAACTTTCCCAGGCATTGGAACGTAGTTGCTCTCCTGGGGTAAAATCCTCTCAAATAAATCAGGAAATTAAACCCAATTCTCTAACATCTTAGGATACTGAATGCTATTAGATATATTTTACTCTGTCACAGCATTAGTTCGTCTGATAAAAGAAATGTCATTTCTAAAATGTCATTTATGTGACCATTTATGTTGTTCATGAGCAAAGTATCCCAATCCATCACATCTCTACACACTGCATACAGAAAAGGAAGACTACAGCTCAGATACTATGCTCTAAAACTATATTTTCTTTCTAAAGGCAAAGATTCAGTAATACAAATAAAGCTTAAGTATACATTAAGCGACATTCCATTTTACATGTTTAAATGTCTTACAGTAGTTCACACAAGTAACATTAGTCTTGGGATTTCATGTGTACATCTCATTTGTGTGTCACAGATTTCAAATAACTTTTAATTTCTTCTCTCTCTCCTTGCTTTAGCGACACTGGAACTGAACCTCCAGAGAGTGGTATCTTTGGCTTTATGATTAATATTTCATCACTTTTAGGTATGTATAATGTACTTGGTCTGAACACAACAAAGAAATGAAATCTAGCAAAAGCTGTCTGCTTATATTTGCAGTCCATACAAAATTCTACAGAAAAAGTACTCCACAGACTTCCGATAATATCATCCAGATGGAAGCAATATCCAGAGGGCCAGTTCCTTGGAGTCAGTAAGTGAGGAGGTGTTCAAAGCATTTCTCCTGTCTCTGAAGAGCAGCTCATCAGTGCAAAGTAGTCAATGCAGCTGGAAATAAGTGGAAGGAGATGGCATAATTAGTGTGCACCAACGGTATCTTTGATGTAGGAAGGTGTTAGGTTATAGGGTAGAGCGGAAAGGGGAAGAATAGTGATGGAACAATACTTGGCTTACTCTGTGAGATGCTTACTCCTCCACTAAATCTCTGCAAAACCTGAAACAGGAAGTATGGCACTTCCTATCCATTTTTAGGGAATGGAGGATCAAGAGCTGCCTAACTCTGTGTATATGTACTCGCTAAATAGCCTTCACGGAAAAGTGAAATCCCATATTATACCTTCTCTAAGGGTCTCATTCAGGCACAGTGACTTGGTGTGTTGTGTATAACGTCTTAGTGCTTGGACAAAGTTACCTGATTTATTTTTCCAGCTGTAGATAGACTGAAGCAAAGTTTTGTGCTGTCAAACTGTGTTATAATATTGTTCTTTATGGAATCCAGCGAACACTTGTTATACCCTAATGCACCACAGTCTTCCAATTCAGTAGAGATGTTTGCTAGGAATGAACTGCATGTGGGAGGAAAGTAGGCTGCACTAAAAACCGCGTGTAGTGGTTTGGGGCCTCTGTTACGCTAAGGAGGAGCCAGAGTTGCCCCAAAAGCTTTGAAAATATTTTCTGGTTACAGGGCTAGTTACGTTTTTTGCTGTTTACACTCTGCAAAAACTGTATTGATTCTTCAGGACGTCTGTTATAAAGACATGTAGTTCTGGTACCAGAGCATCAAGAGTAGAATGAATTCTCCAATTTTTGGTTGGTGGTTCATCTTCCTGTGATGAGCTCCTCCCTTCCTAATGTGAAATGCAGATGCCTCTCTGCCTAAAATACACAGGAGAATGGGATTTAAAATAGTGTTTTTCTTGAACTGATTCACAGTTATTTCTAGATGACATTAATATGCAATGTCAAGATAATGCTAAGATAGCTGTATTTGAAAATAATGCATCTAGAATTTGCTACCTTTCTTCTGTATCCCGGAACTACAGAGAGTATAATTTATTGTACCATGCTTATAATTTCATTCTATATGCAAATGTGTTACAGGGCAAGGTATTAAAAGGTAAGAGATACATGATCATTGAACAACATTTTTTTTTGTTTTTTAGGTGTAGCTACAATGTACATCAGATATTTAATAATAGAAAAGCAAAATGAGTCATCACACTTTATTAGTTCCTCATTCAACATACTTTCATTGTTTATTGGATTGATGGGTTGTGTTGGAATGGCCATTGTTGCAACTTTTCAGGTATGATCATGAATTTCAGATCATAAATAAATTTTAAGTTGTTTTAGCAGTCAAACAATCAAACAGATCAGAATGGTTAACATCACCCCGGTGTGGATACTTGGCAAAAGGAGTAAGAATGTCTTGCTCCTGACTTCTTTTAGTAGCTTTAAAAAGGCAGATTTGGTTTCTCCCTGTAAACTAGATTTTTTGCTTGCATAGTAATGCCAGTAAGGGGTTTTGTGTGTGCTTGTCTTGTTACATGTCTGTACTGGAAAAAGTGCAGTCTTGGGCCTTTTAACTGTAGGGTATAGTGAGCAACTAGTGAACAGTACACTCTCATTTACTAGTAGAAGAACTGAGAAATGGAGAGGCTGTGAGGTTTGTTCAAGGTCAGGCGATTGCTCAAGGGCCAGGAATTAGAAGTTATGTTTCTTTAGCATTCAACCTAGTCCCTGTAACCAGTGAGTCACACAGGAAATTCACATCCATGTGCGCTGTTTGTTTCTTAACAACTATTTTTCCCCAGCTGGTGAGCTAACTCCATATCTGAGTACTGTAGCAGAGCTGACTGACACTATGGGGTGTCACTTTATTTTCTCTCTCCCCAAAGCAAAATATCTAGTTTGTTAAAAAGACTTCAGTGTGAAATTTCTCTGTGAATATTTAAGGTTTGCTTTTATTTATACAAATCTAATGCCATTTGTGGTGAGTCTTTTAACTGGCATAATTAATTGTGAGGAACGTTTTTTCCCTCCTTTTGCTTTAAGGTAGGATACAATAGGCAACATGGGGTTTTAATAGTGCTGCTCTCTGAACACTTAGCAAACATGAGAAAAAGGGTGGGAGAAAACACTAGCAGTGTATCCTCTAAAGGGGAAGAGTTTCTGAGAAAATAAGCAGTGGTCATGAATAAGAAGTTTGTTCTTCGCTTTAAATAACACAATACTTGAAATACAGAAATAAAAGACAATGGAGGAATACCGTTAAAAAGATGACTGGACACGGAATCAAAAAACCCTCAGCCCTTCATGAACAAGGCAAAGCAAAAATCCAGGTCTCAGCAGGTCTGTTTTGCCTTCTGAATATTACACATGATTAAAAGAGAGCTCCCTGTCTTTGACTAGAAGGCTTACGAGGTCTGCTGCACCAGATCTACCAATGGTTCCCACGGTTCTGTAGGAGTTGTGTGTGATGTGGTTTGTAGGGAAGCTCTAAGAGCTTGGTAGGAACAAGAGTGAGAGTTATGTAAGAAAAGTTCTATGTATTTTCTGTAGGGCTGAATGCAAAGCCAAAGTTAAGCTTGCTTAATGCTTTCCATACAAAATCCTGTTGTTCCTATATGGAAGGCAAAAGGTAGGACAGAAGAAGAAAATGCAAGTATACTTGAGAAGGCGCTTAAATAACTTTTTAAGGCTTTTAATGTGCTTTAAAATCTGACAGAACTTAATACATCACAGAGAGAGAGAGAGGGGAGTGAGTAGAAAGAACAGCATAGGAAAAGAAAATAAAAAAGAGCACATGAAAATAATCATCGTTAGAAGAAAAAGAAAACAGCGGCCTCCAGCCAGGAAGGATATTAAAATATATAATAAAAGGATATTGATGTGTTTTCGTGAATCACAAAAGTAGATCTGTGGTAGGTCAGATCATAGCGCATGTTTTGATATGCTCTCATGACAGAAAACAGCTTTAAAGCCAGCTTATCTATCTGGCATTAGATTCCAAGGTGGCATAAGTTAGTATTTGTAATTTTTTGAAACATTTAGAGTCAAAGAATTTCTGTGGAATCTTCATGTGTTTTATTACTGGGCGTTCTACTTGTTCATGTTTAAAGGAAAGAACCTTCCATAGGTAGGGTATTACAAAAATAGAGGCCACATGTAGTGACACAGGAACTTTATCCTCAGCAACGGAGACACTGAATAAAAGTAGCTGATGATGTAGGAAAGAGTAAAAAGGCTGAATAGTTCAAGGGACTGACAGTGGAAGTCCTTCATATCAAGAGCTTATTTTGGGAAACACTTTTCTTTAAAACATATAATTAATTTTCTGCTGACTCATTTGCTGGAGCTTCTTAGCTGGCCACTGAAAGGGAGGATAAAGCTATAGCAGTCCCAGTTTAGATCGGCTCCCATGAAACCTTACCAAGTTCAAGTATGGCTACACAAATACGAATTCAGCTTTCAGCATAAAAGAATGAAAATCTCTGGCAGGGGAGAGTGAAAAAGGAGGTAATGGAACCTCTTAAGAAAAACACAGTGCAGTTCCTGTTTGTGGAAACAGTAGGTCATAATAGACCAATTGTTACACAGCATTAAAACCGGTCTGTGCTTTTCCATGTTCTAACTTTGATCTGATGGCTTTGGACATGGTTGGAAAATTACTCTTTCACCTTTTTCTTCCATCTTACCTGTGTGGACTTGGGAAAAGGGACTGTGTCCTGCTGTTTGTTCATGCCCAGCATAGTGTGGCTGCAATGACTCCCTACCACTGTACAAGCCGTAACAGCTAACCATTGTGCTAATTCTCTTTCCAGGAGCTGTCTGTTCCCAGTGTCCATGACATAGGAGCTTTGGTGGCATTTGGCTCTGGTGTTATATACATTACACTTCAGTCTATTATCTCTTACAAGTCCTGTCCTCAATGGAATACTTATCTTGTGTGTCACATAAGGATGGCCATATCTGTAATATCATGCGTTGCTGTCATTCCCAGTATCCTTTATGGCATATACCACCGCTTCCCCTTTACATGGTTGTGGTTTTCCTTTATAAGTTAAGCCATTGCTGATAAAGGATGGAAATGAGATTGCAGTTTTTGCTTTCTTAAGAGTTTATCCTTCTGCTATAATAATGCATATAGCATGCTGAGACACTCTTAAAAACATGAAGGTGAGCTTCAGGGCCTTTCTGAAAACTGTATCTCGGCTTTCAATGATATATTTAAGTCAAATGCCCCAACCTTCTTCACAGGATCATACAATACATCAGGTTGGAAGGGACTTCAGGTAGTCAGCTAGCCCACCTTCCTAATCTCCTTCATTTTATGGAGAAAAGCCTACAATAGCGGACACAGCTTCTAAAATGAACCTAATGCACATACATATAAAATACAGCCCAGCATTCTAATTTTAGACCAACATCTGCCTATACATCAACCACTATGATCTATGCACCAACTGCTGCTGATTGCTTGTATAACGGCATCCGTTATATTTTGCAGAGTATTTTTGACATAATAAACAGGAAAGACAGACATAAATATAGGATGGAAGATTATTTGGTCTCTCAATCAAACGGTGGCAACTTTTTGTCTGTGCCAATGGTCCCCCAGTCTGTGATATTCCACACGTAGCAGTGCTGAGCAAAAATGTGCCATGGGTAAAAATTGTTTTTCTCCCTTTTTAGTATAAGGAGGCTGTCAACAGCATGGAAGGGTGGCGGAGCAGTATGTTACCGTTCAATTTGGAAACTACTGCTACATATTTAGTCTTCCTGACTAAATCCAATAACTAAATTCACATCCTTGTAAGAACAGCAGAATAACACCATATTTTTCTTAAGGTTCTCTATACTAAAGGCAAAGGGGCCAATGTCACCCTTTGATACACATATGCACTCAAATTCTCATTAGTAAGTATTTCTGAAGCTCCTATTGTATCAGATGAAACAGCATGCAATTACTAAAGTGATTAATTCAGAAAGCAGAATAGGATTCAGGATTCTTATGTCCTCCTCAGCTCCTCTTGTTCATAAAAGTGAAAATCTTAGTTGACTATACGACTTGACCTATACTTCAGTGCAGGCTATCAAGAGCTATAGTTTTTACTTTCACAGCTTCTCTGTTTCCTAGTGGTGAATGTCCAGAGTACATCACATGACTAACCTGCGCTGCTATTATGAAATTGTAAAGTGCATTCATTTACCTGCTGTCTCTCATCAACACGTTTCTTGAAACTGGTTTAAACTATTGTTATTTCTAGTTAGCCTTGCCTGTGAGAAAGGATTAGAAAGGCTCATTTGTACTCCTGTTAGATCTTTCACTGGAAACGCTGAGCTATGTATGTTGTGATATTTGGAAACTGAAATTTGAACTGAAATGCAGAACCTAAAAAGGCAGAGTTGGCAAATTCTGTACAGACATTGAAAACAAAATAGTTGGTGACATGTCATATGATTTGTGACATTACACTGTTTTCTTCTGATGGCAATGGCAGGAACAGGAACAGGGAACTTTATATAAAATTCTTGTAAAGGAACAGAACTTACGTTTTAATAAGAAAAGGTTTAAGTCATAAAGCGTAGTTTTTGTACAAATAAAACTTTGACATTTACAGAGTGATAAAACTGTGATTTGGTTATGAGCCCACTGCATTCTTTATGTGTTGAGATTGACCGATAATGTTCCTATGTAAATTAATTGTCATTAACTATTTGATCTGACCCACAGAAACCAAATCTACCAAAAATAGTTTACCTCTGACAATTATTTTATTTTTTTAATTCGTTGTAGAATAACGAAGCATATGTAGAAGATTCCTCTATAAAGAATGTAAATAAACTGCAGAAAACTAGATCTCTACCTATGGAGCTGGACTGAAATTCAGTACAGTAATTGACAAATGAACCAAAGTGAAACTAATTTTTAAGCTTCAGACTGAAAATTTGTTGGGTTTGCCTCTCATCATGATGCTGCCCTGCCTTCAGTGCTTGACTGTTTGCTCCCTTTACCCTGTCTATTCCTAACCAAAGGTGGAACTGTTGTCCTGTTGTCCTGAGAATCTCATTTCCCTTTCTTCCTCTTTACTCTGGGATGTCCTTTAAGGCTAAGCAGATTATTTGGATCATGTCGGTTGGTGCCCAGCTAGAAGGCTGCATTAGATAACTCCCCTAGAAGCTCACTCAACACACTGATGGGCTTTTTCCACAGCTTGCTGAAATCAGAGTGACCTCATTGCTTTTACTGGAGTTTAGGTGATCTGCCAGTGACGAAAAGTGGTCACAGCAGATCATCACTTGTCAGACATCCAGCTGCAAGTTTTTGGTTTCAGCAGATATGAAAGGGCTTTTAAAGAGGGCCCCAGTCCTTAGCAAAAAGTAGAGGCACCTACTGTGGACTTGTGCAAACCAGCATGGACTTGCTTCCACAGTTCTCGGTCATGAATGTGATTACATTATTTTTTCTCCCTACTGAGAATATCTCCCTTTGCCCTGTGTACTTTGGAAGAACCAACAGAAATCTTTATTTATTCAGATATATGTTTTTATTGCTACTGTCAGTTGCCTTTAATCATTTACTTTTTTTTCTTAATATTTTGATTTGACATTCTGGTTGTTCAGAATCTCCTGCATTTCAGAAGGGGCAGATGGGGTGTTATAAACAGATGTATTTTCACTGTTAATCATTAAACTTCTGTAGTTTCCTTTACACTATTTTTTTTCCAGTGATTGTGTTTGCTTCACGAATTTCCATGACAAAAATTCATTGGATTCCAAATGAAAAGGTAAAATCTCATTAAGTTATGAACTTAATCCTGCATCGTATTATTTGGTTCTTATATTTACCTAAAAGTGTATAGCATTGCAAACATCTCAGAGAATTTAAATAGTACATTATCATAAACAGAAGCTCACCACTTTTGCAATGTTATTTTTCTGTTATTTCTTCATTAGAAAACTGTCTGTGGCTTGTTAAAATCACTGATGGATAAATCTTAAGACACTTACCCATACAACAAATTGTAAAAAACAAACGAACAAATAAAACCCAAAAAATCAGTCTGGAAGTGAGTCATTCTACTTCTTTTTGCAGTCCCATTTCTTGAAAATGAACTTAATACACATGAAACAAAAGTGGACCTTCAACTTGATTCTGAAATTTTTCTTTCTTCTTTTTTTTTTTTAAACAACATTGGCTTTCTCAGCTTTTTCACCATTTCTTTTAAAATAATCTTTACTATTGCGGTAAACATTGAGGGTCTGATATAAGCCATACTAAAGTATCAGATATTTGGATCATTCTCAGTGGTCTTCGAATGATACCTGTGAAAGATAATTTTTATTTTTGGACAAACTTTACCATAGGAGGGTGTACTTTCTCCAAAAATCAAGTTAAATAATGCAGTGAATGTATCTTGCCAGAAGAGTTTAATAAAAGCAAACATGGCGAATGTACTTAAGCAAAGCAGTGGTAAGGCAGCTGTGAGATAAATCTTCACAAGTTAGATAATTTTAGTAGTATCTACCTCTTGAGTTTTTTTTTTTTATTGGAGATGCAAGGGATGCAAAATGTTTTTAGTGAAACGGATGGCATATTTTGGCTGAAAAGAAACAATTTAAATTTGTTTGTGTCCTATTAATGGGTCATTTTATGAGGGTCTACTTAAAAACAAAAATCTTGTCAGGAAATGTCATACAAGGATGGCCATCCATTTTAAAACATCATGAGAGTTTACTGTAAGAGATAGTACTATTCAATTCAGTGGCTCTGAATAAAAGCATCTTAATGTGGGCCACTGTATTCCACTTTGATATCCTTCACATGAGAACTAAACATATTCAAGGTAAAAATTGTATTCAAGCTATTTTTTGATCCTGTACTAATTGTAGTTTTCTTATACTGTCTTTTATGTTAGTGCACAATACATATTGCGGATACATAATGGTAATGTATGCAACCTTGATAAATATACTCACTATTCTAAAGACTAAAATCTGTATTAACTTTTATACAACAGGCTATTGGGATGGTTTCTGATGAGTCATAAGTCCTTAAAATGCTTGTTGAACTTACAGAAGGAAACTTTCCTCTATTTACTCATTTAAAATGTCTTTATTATAAAGACAGGAACTAACTGCACCGCAGGTGAAGCGGCCTGAAAAATCACGTTTCATTTTCCTTTAAAATATAACAGTAGAGCATTCTGTGAGAATGTATTTTGTTATACATTTTATAAAACAAACACAGTGAATTTTTCAAAGGAAAAATACATTTAATTTTACTGAGTATATGTTGCTTATAAGATAGCTACTTTTGTTATTGCTTTTTTTTCCATTTATGTTATTGGTGGTGTAAGCTGTGTGTATTTGAATACACTTGTATGTATTTGAATATTATTGCTTTGTTTAATTATGGTAGAATTGAAACTCCTAAACAAAGCACCAAGATGCTATTATGCTATGTATTACATAAGCATAGAACACACCGCCCCAAATCATTTACACTGAGAAGTTAACAGATTCCTTTCTCTACCCATTCGCTCTCTTTTAAGGATCAACTTTTTCAGAGCCCCAGAGCTCTCAGCTTCTGACAGATTTACTGTGAACTCCTAACACTCTACTCCCTTTTAGCATCCGAGGACTCTATCTAATTGATGTCCTGAAAAAAAACCTTTCAAACGTTCATCATCAGAGTTCACAAACTTAAAAGTTGTCATCCATGACAATAAGTAAAATATAAAAACTGGTTTCAATATAAAAACTGGTTTCATGCCATAGACTGAAAAACAGGACTAGAAGGCTGTTTGTAACTAGTGGGTTTTTATTTACACATACATTTCTAAGAGTCACATAATTCTGAGTCCCTTTTTCTTAATCAAAACAGTAAGAAAAGGATAATGCCAAAAGTTAGCAGTCCCCATATTTCAAAATATTTTATTTCTGCTGTATACACTAATGAGAATTTCATTTTTTTTTTAGCATTCCACAATTACTTAGTTTAGCTGTTTTATTTGAATGTTTATTTTATGTTTCATTCCATCAGGATTATGTTTATCATTTTGTGAGTGCAGTCTGTGAATGGATAGTGGCCTTTGGTTTTATCTTCTTCTTTTTCACCTTCATTAGAGATTTTCAGGTTGGTATCTGCATATTTTGGCAGTGGCTAAGAAGTGCTCTGAATTTTTTAACAGCAAATGCAATAGAAAGTTACTGTTCTTAACTGAGCTATAAATATCAAAGCTATACACAAATAAGTTTTGTCACTTACAGAGCTGATTCCTGTCTACCTAATAAACATTTTTTCCTCTCAGTTTTAAAATATGAAAATAAATGTAACGAAAAAGTTTAATAGGTGTCTGTTCTTGAAAATAGTTCACTAAATTAATATCTTATTTGTCAAGGTTTTTAGAAACAAGCTCTCTACAAATGATATAATACCAAAATAAGCAGTGCCTCTAAAATTGCATTTCTTTCTACCTACGGCATTTTCTGTAATAATTCAGTGCATTTCAGCCAGAGTTTCTTTTCTTTTAAAAAGTTACACATTTTGATTTATGTTCCCTCGTGATGTGAAAAATATCACATACTTTATAAATAGTATTGGCATGAAAACCTTCTGGTGTGGGTAGCCTGGATATATATTATACATAGTTCAGTTTCTGGTGATGCATCAATCCCATTTTAAGGAAGAGAAAATATTAGATTAGTTAAAAAGAACATACCTTTATATGATTTGTAAAAGGCATGACTTGAACTTAATTCTTTAGCTTTCCCTCTCCAACTCTTGCTGTTTACAAGTATGTTCTAGGTGCAGAGTTTCATGGGATTTTGGTTCTGTATAGGGATACAAAATGATAAAAACATGAACGTGCGAGACTTAACCTTGGCAAAAGAACTTGTTAAAAAAAAACCAACAACAACAAGAACACACCACACAGCTCACAAGTGCCATGTGGGGATTTGAAGACAAAACCTCGTGGATATCGCAGTGGGAGTTTAAGAGGATTATGGCCTCCTTTTCTTTCTCAGACTTTTGAATGTTCACATTCCCCATAACTTTTTTGGACCTTTGGGAAAGTGCAGAAGAGAGCTTAAGGTAGAAAAGACTGAGAACTGCTGTTTTATACCATAATTACAAAGATTAAATGAGTCAGTTGTAAGCACTGTGAACGTCATATCCCGTAGGTCTTTCATGAATACCATTTATGACATTGCCTTACATAAATCCTAGAAAGTTAAAAACAATAAATCCAAACACTTGCATAACTGCACAACTGATGAGGATCATATATGTGGGCCAATGGGTGCTGCGATAAATTGCTGGAAACCATATGCAGGAATTGTGGAGATGAGAAAGGAGGAAAACTAGTGAGACTCCTCCAAGTCCTTTGGCATAAAACCAAAGCTTGCAAGACTTTATTATTAGTTTATTTGCTTCTTTGCTTATGCTCTTGCTCAGCAGGCAAGTGGTTAACATATATAGAAATCAGTGTTCAGCTAAGGATGCAGAGTTAACATACATTTAGTTAACTGACATCATACATCTCTACACCAGTTTACATTTGGTTGATGTTATCATCAGGTAGATCACAGCTGTAGGACTTTCCCTTATTAAAATGAAGGTTACATTCTGCAGAACAAAACACATTCAAAAGAAACAGTTGTTCAAAATTACACAATGAATTACCTAAAAGAAGCATAATTGCATTCCAAAACTGACAAAACTACTGAAGTAGAAATGATTATTACAATACAAAAATGATACTTCAAAATTATAATGACACTTCAAAAAGCAAATTTTTCACCATTACATTTACCGTTTGTCTCTTTGGATATTTACTGCCAGTACATCCCACTCTGATCTCTATACATAGGATGGCATCTGTTTTATCACCAGGAAGCCTCTCCACTGTCGGTGAGAATTCGCAGACAATGCTGTAGTCTTCAGATAGCTGAATTAACAGATGGGGCTGCTTCAAATCACAGACCTCAAAGTGTTCAACGTTGAAAGCGTAACCATATAAACACTGCGCGTGTAACAAATATTAGAAAGCAATATAATTAAAGTAAGTAGAATATGTAGGCCTCTTATCTTAGTTTACAGGCCTTGAATCAGCATGAAATCTAATGTTAGTGTTTGACAATGATAAATTACGTCTTACCAGAGCGCTGCAGTGGATTTTTTAGATTCCATCCTCTTACTGTCCTAGCCACTGCATACAAAAAGCCAAAAGATTAATTCATAAAACCACTTGAACACCAAATTCTGAGAAAAAATAAGCCTTCCCTTTTTCATTTCTCACAGTACATATTTTACTTAAACAGGCTAACTTTTTTGTTATATGTCCACATGCTTTATATCACAGAACTATGAAGTTATCTTCTTAAACTGATCTTGCTGTATTTTTCTTTTAGAGAGTTTCTTTAAGGATATCAACAGAAATGCATGAAGACTCCTGATCCTGGAGAAATTTATATTTTGTATAGATGAACATTTTAGGATTATTTTTACTTACATAAAATGCTGCAGAGGAACCTGGATTTTCGAAGATGAAGAACCCATGCCATTAATTCTGAAACAACTACAATAGCATCCAACAAAACATTTTAAATACCAACAATATTCCTGTATTTCCTTCCCCCTGGCTGGGGCCCTCTTGTTAGGATATTTTGTAACTTTTTTACTGTTTGGCATATTAAAACTACTATAACAGAAGAAATCTGTTAAAGCACTTCAAAGGCTTTTGAAGGTGTGGACCTCCTTAGTTCTTTCCTTTTGGTCATATCCATATTTTTTCATTTTTAATATTGTGATTAATGGCATTAGTTTTATACTTGGGAAAGTACGTTTTTCAGACAGGTCACAAAGTCTAAAGAAAATGGAAGACACTAAATTCATTGAATTCCTGCTCTGTTAAGTTGAAAGGACTATATGAAAGAAGATGTGAGCAGAAGCAGGCATCTTTGTTTCAAGACTAGAAATTAACAGTTAGTGGATTGCAACACTATGCTACGTGTTTCTAATGATGGACACTCTATACAAATGCAAATCCTAGGAGAAGTTTATACTGCTTGCAGAAATGTTTTCTAATCATCACTGCAATGAATGTTGTAAAAGTCTATCCTTTCTTTCCCCTCCATCCATTGCTGGCCAGAGGAAGCTTAAAATTGAAGTGGGAATCGAAAGGAACAATGAACTATTTATGCAAAACCTTTTTTCTTGGGAGCTACACTAGAAATATTTTTATTGCCTGCTCTGTTTGTATGATGTTTTCTATTTGTTAGTCCGTCATGAGTGGCTGAGAAACTTCTTTTGCATAAACTACAGTAAATCCCATGATAGGTAGTGTTGTTTTTACTGACTTACGCTAAATCATTTCTCCACCCTGTCCAAAAGGACAAAGTCTCATATTTTTTAGGCTGTGCAGCTTATGTTACTGATGAAAAATTACCATTGCAGCCTCTGTCACAGTCAAAAATCATGTAGGGATGAAATACAATCAACTCAAAATATCTAAATAATGCTTCACCTTAGGGCAATTTCATTCTGTTTGCTCTTCACTCTTACGTGTGCCGAGCCAGTGATTACCACCTATTGTATCTTATTTTTCTTATAAGCTATTATAAATTCATATTTATGGTTTGCTCTGTTTGCATACTGCCTTGCATGCTCTGACAGCAGCGTATGCTTGGTGGCAGCAAAACAATCTTGACAGCCAGAGGTTTAGTATTGGGAGATAATACTCGTTACAGCCATTTCAGACAGACTAGAAAGATTCCAGAAATACATATCAATAATAATTTTGAACATTTCAATATAAAGAAGGTAGAGAAAGTCAAGATCTTGGTATTTCAAACTGTTTCATAAGTACTTAGAGGTCTTTTCACAAGCCTTCAGGTTTAGAAGCCTTCTACTTGAAGACTTCAGAGGGTTGAACTGGCAAGCTGATCCTAGTGGTTTACTGTGCCCTCCGCAAATATTGTCTCTCCATGAGATTTTGCTGCAAAAGCCGATCTCCTCCAGGAGGAAGTGAAAGGTAATATGGTGCTTGGATTTTGAGAAGGGGCAGCATCCATTTCCTTGAAAGAAGAGATAATGTCCCTTTACTCTAGGGAAATTTAAAACTGCCTCCAGAGAAGAAAGCTGAGAATTAGTTGTTCACAGATCTGTCTAGGGTAACAAGTACTCTCAGTAAATCTGTCCGGGTCCTTCAGTTTTTAACCTAAATTCTCTCCGAGAACTCTTCCCTGATCATTGATCTGAATTAAAAGCAAGTCCAGTTCTCTTTCCAGCCCTCTTCTATTTGTAATCTTTGAACTGTAAGTTTTCAGATAACTTTGCTAAGGCATCCACTAGCTCGTATCAGAAGGAACTGGTTTATCATAGCAGTTCACAAACCTATATTTTACACGATATATTGAACCTCTGCAACAAAACAGATGAATACCCGTTTGGCAAGCTTGTGTTAATAACCTCTCCAGAATTATTCCTTGTAAACCATTTCCTACCCTGGGTCATAAAGAAAAACAATCTGGAGGTAATACCTTGTTGTATCAAGCAAAGTCTCAAGTATGAAATTACTTTAAAATGTACAATTTACTTGAGTTTAGGAGAATATAAGAGAAGAACTTTTTTTAAAAAAAGGTTTTGTGATCTTTTTCTTTATAAAAAACTTAAGTTTCTTCCAAATTCTAGATTAAACGAAAGGTCTAATCAAGAGCAGCATTGCCCCATTTGTCAGCCAAAAGGTGGCTGATTGATTGATTCCACGTCTTTTACAAGTGCCAAATAAATAAAATAGGGAATGTTTCTTAAGGGATAAGTGATCACCTTCAGAGAAAAATTAGAGAAATAAAGGAGTGTCTTTGCACAACATTCACTCGTTCAACTCATGTCTCATGCTCGTTCGCTGCTAGACCTAGGCCTCACATGCCAACCTGTGCCTTGGCAAATCCCATGCCAGCTCCTGCTGTTCAGCTTTGCCTGCTTTCCCAAACTGTTGTATCTAGCAGGGGAAGTCAAAAGAAGAGCCCTGTTAGAAGGCACGTTTACCCCACTATGCAGGTGAGCAACTGCTCCTGCGCACTCATGTGCCCCCAGAGCACAGCAGTGGAGGACATTGTGGAGAGGAGGAAAGGGAAAGTTTGCCTTACGTGCCCTTTTGCTCAGGTCTAAGATGTCTGCTTTCACATTGAGAGAGAAGCAAAGTTATCTGCCTCAATCTATCTCACAAATGAACTTTGAACAATTAAATACCACAGTCAAAGTTGTGGGGGATGGCTCCTTCAAGGAGATCTGAAAATTAAAAAAATACATAACTCATAAAGATGAGTGTCTCTGGCGGGCAAGTTGAGGAGACCTCTCTGACACATCAGCAAGGAGAAGACAGCCAACAAACACAAAAATGGCAGGACCAAAGAAAAACAACTGGTCTCCAACGTGGACTTTTTGGGGAGTGGCTCTCTAAATAAAAAACTCTCTAAATAAACTCTCTCTCTAAATAAAAAAAAAAAAAGATCCCGCATCCAAGATCTTAGCAGAAAAGAATAAGCTATTGACTTGGAAGACTGAACCCCTGCACTAGAAACTGGCCTACAGGAAGCTTGTGGGACAGAGCTTCAGAGTTTCCAGGAAGGCAGGAGGAGGGATTTTGAATGTGGGAAGACATATAGAGTGAGAAGAAGTAACATTAGAATTAGCCTGAAAAATTAGGTTGGTAGGTGAAAGTTTTGATTATAGAACTAATTACCTAAGCTCTCCAGAAAACACAGAAAAGTAGATGGTAAATGGTGTGACAACTCACACAGAGCTCAGACAGTGAAATTACAGCAGCAGAGGCAGATAAAGAGGTTGGTGAAAAGAGAACAACTTTACTCTTTATGCAAAATAATCAGAAAGATTAAGCCTGTGCTCTCTGGAATGCTTTTTATTATATAGCATTACTCTGAAGTGCTATGTAGTAGCAATGTAATTCTGAAGCTGTATGAAGGGTAAATATTTAAGGAGGAGGAGGAGGACTGTTTGAACTTATACCGCATTACAGGAGATCAAACAGGAAAGCAATCTAGCTAAGAAGTTTAGACTTCCAACGGAAGGTAGGAGCTCCTTTTCATAGGAAAAGAAAGCTGGGAACTCTCACTGACTAATTCTCAGGTGGCTTAATAAGGGTTTACCAACTTCTTGCTTTGCAGATATCTCATGATGAAGGAAAGAAACACTCAGCAGGGCACAACTGCTCCTTGGCCATAACCTAAGCAAGTTGTAAAAGATCCTCATTTATAATATTTCCAGTAGACTGTAACTTTCACAGCTGGGTCTGTCTTTTACTGTGCATTTGTGTATGTGGTCCATACATATATGAACACCCTGTATTGGCATGATGAAGCCTGACAGTGGTTAGAGTCCTGCATGTCATTGTAATATGCATAAGTGATAATAATTGCTACATATCGTAAAAATAAAAGTGATTGATGATATTTTTATGAGATTAGGCTGCGTTTTCCAAGTGGTACTGTAGCATGGAAAGGGTATTTCTCTGATTTTTAAGGGGAAAATAGGCAATTTCTCCATTTTGTATTTTATGCTTAATTTTCCTTATACACAATAGATGGCGCTAGTAGACCACGTTATCAGTGTATATTTTCCATATTCTGGAAGAAGTTATTGCTTCTAGTAAGTACAATAGTTTTTCTAGGTAGCCTCAACTGTTTTTAATAATCATCTAGAGAGTTAGTTAAATGTTTTTTTTATTATATCATCGAGGAACAGAGTCAGGTCAGTTCTAAGTTTCCTTGCCATCCCCTTCTGCCTTAATCTGAGTACATATATTTTGTAACTGCAACCTTTACTTTCATAGCAACTTCAATATTTCAATTAATTTATCTCAGTCAAAGGAGCTACTCGCTATAGTTAGCAGAGGTACAAGTTGCAGTTCAGCTTTAATTTTTAAGCCACCTTCTTTGGGAAGCTTTTCCTACCTCTTTACAAAGAAGGTACATGTTATTCAGCAGTTTGAATACGCTATTCTATCAGTTCTAATGGAGCATCAGAAGGCAAAATAGACTTTATTTCTGCTGGACAATAATTTACAAAAGGACAAGATTTCAACATTTCAAAATTATAGCCGTTCCACACCCAGAAACAGTGGCATATCAAGTTGTGAAAAGCAATTTAAAGATAGCTGTTGTATCCCTTAAAAATCCACTTTTGTTTACATATAAGTCTGTTTTTAGTTATTCATTGCCCAAGTAAACAGTTGGGTAGCATTTTTTGCATGTCTGCTGTGAACTGTAGTTATAATCCAGGCCTCTTAACATCTATCTACATTTCTCTTCTTGGTTTCAATAAGAAACTAAATTTTAAAAAAGTAGCATCTTACATATAAATGTAAACACAAACAATGCTAAAATTAACCTTGAAGGTCTGTAGAGCAAACTACTGCTGATATAGAGCTCATGAAAGAGCCTTTTGAATTGAACATGCTGCTAAGGCACCTGACTCCTAGTTTCTTTTTGATCAAAGATGTAATTGAATTGTAACAAGTTTGTATAGGCCAGAATTTCTGAACATCCATAAACTTCCATTGCAACATCCATAAACTTCCATTGCTTAAGCTCAGACATCACAGGACAATACTGAGACTCATTAAGATCCAAAAATTCTTTTTATTTTACCTGGCATTATAGAAGTTCATCATTTTCGGTCCTAAGCAAGCCACATTGAGCATAGATATTCTTCTAAAAATGTTGACCTTACTCATGCTGTTTCTCAGTCTCCAGTCTACAAGACAGAGAAGCTAACCTCCCTCAGCAGTGTTGCACAGATTTTTTAAAATAAATATAGAAAGAGCTTTAACAAAGGAATAGTTTATTACCATTAGCCATTTTCAACACAGTGGAACACGAGATCCCTCCCAACACGCACTCATGAAATTCATTGTAAGTGGAAGTTACCTTTATAAAAAGGCCTCTCTGATGAACTCCTATACTTTCACCATGAGATTTCTAGGGCCTCTTTGTAGCCCCACTTTTATAAAGGATATTAGCAGCTAACAGGTCTCCCTGCAGAGAGGTATCTTTACTTCCTCTTACAGTGCATCAAATAGTTGAAACAATGTAGGAGATTTTCAAATATTTCATTTTCTTTCAGTTTGAATTATTCAACAGTGTTTTACCGACTTCACGGTTTATTTGGTTGTACTTTCAGAAAAGACGAAGTCCAGTAACACTCCTAACTGCAGTCCCTGAATCAAGTGAATCATAGCAAATTAGGAGCCAGAAATTCCCCTTTTCCTCTTCTCCCATAGAGCACGGATGATTTCTCTTTTCAAAGGAAGAGGGAGAAGGCACTAATAGCCTGAGATTTAAGGCTGAAGAGATCAGTCTTCAGCTACTGAAGTCAAGTTATTCTCGTTCAGTAGCCTCTTAGCTTCATTATCTGTGGACTTCAATATCTTGACTTTTTTTTTTTTAATCTGTATGCAGTAACAATGTTGAAGAGCTGTGCCCTGCATGTGACAGTAACAGCACCAGCGCAAGCAGACCTGGCCATTGCTCCTTCGGCATCCCACACCAGACACATGTATATGTTTAAACCACACAGAAAGCAGCTGCTAAAAAGCTTGCCAAAGCACATACATCTTCTAAATAAAAATGATCTACAGGTACTAGGCCAAATTTATCCTTGAACTCTGCTGCTATTGGTAAAGCTAAGTAATTGCAGGAGTGGCAACGGGAAGGAGGGGCTGGTGACACCACACATTAACATCTACAGGTAAGGGGGTCAGGGGAGGCGTCACTCAACAGTGCAGTGTCACCTACTGAGGAAGGTCCGTATGGGAAGATCATCTGTCTGCAGGAGGGGTTTTGCTTTGTGTTTTGTTTGTTTGTTTGGGGAAAGGGGAGCTAGAACAGAACTCAGTGGCGACAAGCTCCATTTCTAAGATTTTCTGGGCGCCTGAGGATTCTAACCAGGAAAAAAGGAAATAATACTGGTAGTTAGATATACAAAATGCCTTAGCTTTTGCCTTTGTGTGTAAAGGCTCCCTCTGATATTTGTTTATTTTAGTTAGCATCTGGAACTATTTATTTTCTGTCTGTCTCTACTGGTGACTGGGCGATGCAATTCTTGAGCAATACTACAATTCAAAGGACTTTTTTTTCGTGTTCAAATGAACCAGATTTCCCCTAAACATCCAGTGTGTGAATATTTCAAAAACTTTGACTACACTTCAATCAAATCATCTGAAGCAAAGGCTCATGCCTTGTTATATCCCAGCATTTCCATGCTGGCTTTATGTTTCCTAGTAGCCTGTGCTAGATTTAAATCACATAGGTGACCTAGGAAAGTCAGATACTATTATTTTGGGGTGACCATAGATACTCCTTTATACAATTGCTATCCTTTTCCCCAGGACAGTTTTTCATAGTACAATAACTTATCTTTTCCTTTTAAAAAAGTTATAAATAGAATTTTGTACAGATTTGAAATTTGTACAAGGTTTATGTATAAAACCTTGTAGTCTTTACTGCTTAGAACTGATTTTGACCATAGCTCTTGATCTTAAGGGGAAATCTAATAATCAAGAATTCCTCCAGATAAAGTACCTCTCTTTATAGAGCACTCATTAATCTTTGAAGATCAAAGTTCAGCGTGAGATAAAAACCTTCACTTGAACTAAAAGTGATTTTCTTACCTGTAATCAGCCAAAATCAGATTGCAAGCCTTTTAAAGGCTTCAATTTTTAGTGTTTCTTGCTCTGCTTATAAAACGCATGTGCATTGTTTATAGGGCCTGGGGATGTTTCCTGGATAGCCTCTGGAGTTAGCAGAATTACTTCAGGGATGAATCTGGCCCAGGACGCTAAGTTGTTTCTTTGTAAGCAGTTTGGAGGAGATGTCAGGCTCTAAGACTTTCTGCTTGTTCTGCTTTTGTTCCTTAAACCCACTTGTTTTCTTATTGAAAAAATGGAAATGGAGTGTTTGGAGTGAACCGAAGTGCTTAAACCTGTAGTATCAGAGCCAATACAACAGATTGCAAAGGGATATTGTTTTGATCAAGTCTCTAATAAAATTTAATTCACATTTCGGTGCAAAAGCTATTGTGTGTAAAGATCATCACACTGTGGCAAGATCGGAGAAGTCCCCAAGCAGCTGTGAGAGTCTTTGAAGCAGCTGAGGGAATGAATAGGAGCCAGGGTTCAGAAAGCATTCATTTTCTTAGGAGTATGGAAGCTTTCCATTGGCATGTATTCATGTTGGTTTTGGGGGCACACAGATGGCGCCATTTCTTATTTCTCCCTTTGTCCTCTGTCATTCTGTGTTACATAATACTCAATTCACACAAATCGCATTGGCAAACAACTCTCCCAGTATGTTAGTATTAGGATGTGGTTTCTATGATTCTGTTCCAGAAATCATCTTTCTTCATGACAGTCAACAAATTAGCCTTACTTTCCTCCATTTTGTTGTCTCAGTCCAATGTCGGGGGAATTTAAACGTATGCAGGTAGTAAGTCGTGGGTGCTCTCTGACCTGACTGCCTACCAAAATCAACTCTGAACTGAGAACGTGCCTACAGTTGGCATGACTGGTGAGTTTAAAAGTATTTAAACCGAATATTGGGGCAATTATAGCATTATAGCACATTTCAAAGGGTGATTGCCAGTGCTGTCAAGGGGTCAAGCTGACATTTTTTTCTGTACCTCTTTGCCAAACAGCTTTAAAATTTGAACATTTCTATTGTATTAATGTAGCTTTTTAGTCTTGAACTGAATTTAAAACATGCTAAATGTTGAGGGTAGGCAATACAAAATCCCTATTGCTACTTTCCTGGAATTTCAACCAAAAGAAATGGTTCGACATTATATAATCAGAATTTTTTTTAAATCAACTTGCAGTTTTACATGGCATCTTGCGTCTGCTCGTGGCAGCCAGAACTGAGCGTTGCCATTGAAAACAGAAAGTTATGGCCATACATACACTCCAAAAATACCTTCTGGTTGCAAAAATATTTAACAATGTCAGGACTAAACAGGAGTGAGAGGAAACTAAAGAAAGACAAGCTTGGAAGCTGTTCATTGCAGTGTCGGAAAAAAGTTCAATACAGACAACTGCACAAACAGACAAATAAAAAGCAATTTGTAAAATAAAAACCCAGTCCTGCAGACTGCTGAGTCTTCCTGCCTGTGAGTTAAAGGATGAAGAGGGGTTGACTCTCAGGTTGTCCAGTTAAATTTATCTAACATAAAGAGCTGCGCATCAAGAGCATTCAGCTCAGCACTGGTGACAGGTAAATCCCAGTTTTCTAGGACGAATAAAAACATTGCCTCTGTGCAGTCCTCTGCATTCTGGAAAAATAGAAATCTCAAAACCCCAAATCCTAGCAATACCATGGATGGGTAGTTGAAAGTATTCCAGAAACCATGGTAGCAATGGC